AATGAAGAACGCGGATTCGTTGCTCACACTTTTCGTTAAGGAGGTGAGGGTAAACATCCGCGATGCCGATTGGTTATGACCCCTGCTAATGAAGAAGAACATGGGGAAGTCTCCCACCAGTGTGGAACGGGGTGACTTCATTTTTGGAGAAAACCAGTCGTTTCTGGTGGCCATGTGTTCGGTTTTCCGTTCGGCGACTACCCGCTTTCTCCGTGAATTTTGAAAGTCTAATAAACTCAAGGACTTCTCCGAAACTCTAACAAACTCTAACCGAAAATACTTGTAGACAATAGTTTGACTGGCAAACGTGTGGAAACAATGCAGCTAGAAAGTGCCGTTTTATGGTGGGTCCTTGAGTTTATTGAGGGTCTGGAAGGCTGGCGATGGGCCGCTGGCTGCTAGGTAGCGTCGGCTGGAATGCAGATGTTCCATGCGACGCAACATGCGTACATTAATGATGCTTCTCGCATACCTATGCCTTTAATAAATTCTGTACTGATAAAAAAACACGATTAGGTCGAAAATGTTTCAGAGGGCACGATAAAAGAGAAAAATTAAATCATAAAAAAGATATAACTCAGTTTTACATAATGTATCACACAATTTAGATAGTAATTTAGTAACATAAAATATTTATATTTTATCTGTATCGCGTGTTTACGTTACATCTCATACTTTACCTGAAGCTATTAATACATATAAAAGAGTAAAAACAGCAAATGTTCACATATCATTTTTCTAAATAAAATTTAAATTGTTTTGGAAATCTCGCAGTATATTAAATCGCCAATTTCTCAATACCACGAATCCACTTATATTCCATTATCTACGATGCTCGACGAACGACAAATCGATATCACACGTTTCACAAACCAATATATATATATATATACATATACGTAAGGGGATTCACAGTATTAAGAAATTGGCGATTCAATATACTGAGAGATTTCCAAAATAATTTAAATTTTACTGAGAAAGATATACACATCGTGATCAACTCGTGTTGCTTTTATCGCAGATCAGTGTAAAAGAGTACAAATATTCGATAACATTTGCGGAAATTGACAGTAAAGGGTCTCAAAGGCTATCGTGCCTCTCGCCTTCGTTTCCGCGCGGAAATTTTCTATATCGTTTCGTAAATCGACGTTAAGCGCGACTATGAGTTCGAGCGGATCGAGTACACTCGTTAAATATCCGGGCCAGAAAAGATATTGGCGAACGTATCGTTTTAACAATTCGTTGATGGCGTGCAATTGAATGCATTAACGAAACATGACATTGAAGTCCGTGAGGCAGCCGATATTAAACGCGTATAAAACAGGGAACGGACAAATGAAGCGCCGGCAATTTCATTCGGTTGATAAAGGAGATTACCTGAATACCGAAATGTCCCACGTGCCTTTGGTAAATTTAATTATTTCTCGCAGTTTCACCACGTAAAACTGTAATTCATTCCTCGATGTCAATATGTCGGCGTTGGCTGGCATCTAAGAAATCAGTGATAGCGATATACTAATAAGATAACAGTTTTGCTATTCAAAATGCCAAGATAAGCCTACTCAATTGTCAACGGATGTTGCTGCGAGAAAGAGAAAAATGTTTGCTTGTCAATGACTCTAAGGAAAGACGAATTTCGTGTATTTACTTAAATTAATGATGGCATATACATTTGAATATATAAGTATGTAGTACATAAGTATGTAATTCAAATCCTGAAATATTAAGCGAAGAAATATTAAGTAGTGAAACATCTTTTAAAAAGAACAGATATTGCTATATTATGATATTAATAGATATTATTATATCATGGGGAAACTGTTTGGATTATTAGATGATTTCGTAGCTAAATTTTGTATTTTTAATTGTTTTTAAATTTACAGCGAAAGGAAATTGAAAAGTGACTTTGATCTGCCCTGTATTTGTCTTGATCGCAGAAATTTCCGATTTTCTCTTTTAAGATTTCCATTAAATTACTGCTGTAGAATTTATTAACGAGGAAGGAATCAAGAATGAATATCGACATATATTATTCTGGATATTCCCGTAAAAATTGAAAGATTTTTAGAATCGTTGCGGAAATTTACTTCAGATATAAAAGTTCGACGAATGCTTGCTCATTTTTCCGGTTCTGATTCTTCGATTCGCGCATTCAGCGTCGTGTGATGTTCTGAGCCTCCCGCAACTGGGTCGAAAAGTTACGGTGTAGAGTTCAATTATAGGGGAACGATGATTGCGCTGAATTTGGTAGCCAGGGAATGTTAAGTTCGGAAGAACGAAGATTTTCTTTGTTTTTCACGGAATTTAATTTCGGTCTCTACGCTGCGGTTTTTCATAATTTCCTTGTTTGGATTTCCTGTATTATTTTGTATTGGTTTATAACTTGTTTATTTATAAGATGTTCCATATTTCAGAAAAAGAATTTATTACGTAACTGCCTTTCTAATTAGATATATCTATTATTATTGTTGCTATCATTACGTATTCACTTCGCAGGTTTTACAATAATCCACATCTTAACAGCGATATTTACAAATGAAAGTATGAATTTTTATGCACACTTGTATTATTACAAACGTAACTCAAAAAGTTGCACAAGTGTTCAAACATTCCCACGAGTCTGTGTATTTACCCAAATTAAATGACGATTTCTTTGACATTCTTACGGAGAATGTGAAATGAAATATCAGCCCCTGAGATTTTCGCTTTTTAAACCTGAAGAGTGCGTATATCTGCGGCGAGAAACGTAATTTTTCACGTCGGATTACCAGATAGGGAGAGAGACAGAATGTGGGAGGCGAGTCGAAGCGAGAAGTATGTGGAAGGCTGAAAGGGCGAAGAACGTAGAAAGGACATTTTACCAGCAGGTAGGTCACACGTCGACATCGATATCGATGTTTTCAGCCCTGACCGGTTATCGAACGCTTGAGAATCAAGCGGAACACGTTTCTCCGTATTGACTGAGAGGTAACATTCACAACGCTTTATAATTTAGCACTTCCGCATGATTCCATCGAAATACCGTTTGTTTCGAGTATGGTTTCGAGGAAAAGTAGGCTTCGATTTATTCCAGGATCAAACGGAATTGTTCATCGTGTCGGCGGAACGATACGCCTCTGGAAACGCTGGGTTAAATAATCGATTCGAGGTCGTACGGTCGATCAGAAAGTTCGAAACTGGCGCGGCTCACTGACCGAGATCCGAGAATATTCTTTTGACGCGTGGTTTCGGTGAATCGTTGAACTTTCCTCTATACATACTGTATAGTGAATGGATAACAGTAAAATTTTTCGATCACGAGGTGTTAAGGCGCCCATACAATTCGAGCGAATTCAATTGCTTTGTAAAATAAAAAATTCTTTTTTTTGTCGACAGAAATGTATTGTTCATTGTTTCGAGTCATAACGTTCTGTCGGAAGTCCTGTAGTAAACGAATTGTAAAATTTTGTACGTCTTTGTGAATATTTTTAAGTTCTTTCTCATTTGAACAAACGAAAAGACTTTTAGCGTTTTAATCGTAGAACTACGATCTCAAAATCAGCACTCATTGTGTTACACATAGAAGATTATAAATAAAGGAATCTGGAGAAAATAAAAAAATATATGCATATCACAGTAAAATTCAACATTAATTTTAACAAAAATCTTGACATATTTTTAGTAACAGCAAAAAGAAAATACCTGCAGCCAGTATCATTTTGATGATAAAAATTTGATACCAAAATAACAATTTCATATTTCAGTGGCCAAGAGTTCAGATCTACATACAGAAATTTTTACCAAACAATAAAGCAAATTTAGTGAATAACGGAACGCGAAATGTTTAATGTATCGAAACATGAAGCTTTCCGTGGAATTGAAAATACACAAAAACTATTTGAACCGCAGGTAATTTAAATATTTTGCATCTGGTTTCGCGAGAAAACTCGGCGAGTGAAAACTGGAGCGTCTCGCTTTCTCGCGGAACGTGCTACAATACAAGCAAAACCTATCAGTCTGAGTGGATTACGTAAAGATGTCCGACACAACATCGCACTCAATGGTCAGCTCTAGCTCGATATGCTTGATACTCTATGCAAGTGCTGTAAAATGAATTGGACAGCGTTTCCTGCGTCGAAGAACGAAAGTGTATGAAATGGCCAGGAA